GGCTTCACTTGTTTGCACAGCCCGATTGCTGGCATGCTGCGGCCCGCTGCCGGTCCACGGACCGTATGTTGGTGGTGGTGGGGCTCCTTTAAAACACCCGTTCAGAATTGACTGGAATCTTCTTGACCAGCGTTTTTTTAATCTTGGCAGCTTAATGATAGGTGGACTTCAACTCCTAGAATTTCCCAGCTATGCTAGCTGGGCAATTCTAGGAGTTGAAGTCCACCAATCTTTAATTGCTATGTTGAGAAACACGGCTCTGAAAAGCTACCTTGGTCTCAGTTTCCAAAACCACTTGGGGGAAAAAAAGTTTCACATATTTCTATTATGAGAAGAATGGTTTCTCTGGTGTAAGAACACTTTTTGTGTTTCAAGCGTGGGGCAGCTCGCTTAGGACTGGAACAGACCCAAATAAAGAGATTTGTGCAGAAATTAGAGTTTGATATAATGTCCTCCATGGAGCAATACAAAAGCTTTGTGATGCATGGAAACTGCAATCTGAGACAGATCCATATATTTGTTTCTGACTTTTACAACTTAAAGCACCATCCCTGGGAATTCTTTTCAGTGATATATGGTTAAAATTTCCCCTTAAGAAGAGAGAGAGTTAAAAACAAACAGTCCAGTAATTCTCTCTAGCTTACTTTCATTTTACGGGTAACTAAGCGGCTCCCAAGAACGTGCTTTCATAGTTGATCTCTCCTTTTGCTTACTTTTTCCACAAAATCAAACTTCCAAAATGAGCTCAGTCCAGATTATGGAACATGGCGAAGTCGCTGCCCCGGAAGGAAGATTCTGAGCTATTGCGAATGCTGCAGATTCACAGTTTATCATTTGTTAGTTGCATTTCATTTTATTTCTGTTATTATTAAAATACGTTTTCTACAACCAGGTGCCTTGGCAGCACCTGGCAGCGTTCTCAGGTTTTTGCTAACTCATTACAGGCAATATCGGTGGCCCTGCTGCCACCGTTGCCTTCCAATTCATCAAAACAAAACTTGTGGTTCTTCTTAGTATTTGCAGTGTTGGCTAATTTTTGCATACACTCTTCTAGTTACCGGCACACAGTGTGCAACTGTTGGTTTGTCACAGAACCCGACATTGAGTGGGGCTGAGAGGGAGGGACTGGCCCAAGGGTGCAACTGGTTCATATGCCTAAGAGATTAGCAAAGTCTGGGTCTGCCCATAAGCACCTTCCCCCACCACACACACCATATTGGTTCCACACTGAAGCAAATAGAAGATCCCATTGAAGAAGTACCAATCCTCTGGAATAGATCACTTGCCACCAATTATATTTCTTTTAACTCTTTTTAAAGAAATATAATCAAATATAATTTTTTTTTCTTTAATATTTTTCTTGGTAGAACAGGTAGTACTTGATTAATATTTGTTCACCGACCAGTTAAAGCAGAGGTCCCCAAACTTGGCCACTTTAAGACTTGTGGACTTCAACTCCCAGAATTCTCCAGCCAGCATAGCTGGGAGTTGAAGTCCACAAGTCTTAAAGTGGCCAAGTTTGGGGACCCCAATTTAAAGTTACAATGGCTCTGAACGAGGGGACTGTAAACTTGTCCCCAAAGTTGCAGTGTCTCTGTTGATCACCATTTGAGAGCTTCATTGCAACCTTCTGATAAGCAGAGTCATTGGGGCAGCCAGTGGGAACTCACAAATGGCAATGAGGTAATGTCCCACCTAACAGCCCACACGGGATTTACCTAAACACCACAACTGAAACCGCTTACTGTAAGTTGGTTTGGTCATATGACATCAAACTTTATGATCACATCCTTTAGCAACAGCATTCCTGGTCACAATTACCATCATTAACCGAGAACGATCTGTGTTCCTGAAGAACACCTTTATCATAAATTAGTGTTTACCTCAGCGACTTCGTGAACTTCCACTCCCAACATTCCTGGCTGGGAGAGTGCAGACACATCTTCGAGTTGTCCAGGTTGAAACACACATCAGTAGAGATTTGATGAAACAAGACAAATTTCCCCAACCGGGATCCAATCTTGTTCAAAGCACTTTCTCCCTCTTTTTTTAACTGAACCCAAATCAAGTGCTTGGCATGGTTGTATGTACAAAGCCAGAGGTTTTCAAAATACATGGGAAAACAGTGACTGTTTATATAATCTCTGCTTTGAACTTTTACAGATCACAACATGGGGAAATGGCATTGTAAATCTATCTTTGTTCTCTGGGCAGTTTTGTAAAGCGGAATACATTTTGTGTTGGGAATATAATATTGGGCGGCCATCTAAATTGAAATAAAGGCTCTCTTTTAGTTGTACTCTCACAAAGCGCTGTCTTTCTGGCCCAGCCAAGTTGACTCCCTCTGAAAAATTCATGCAGAATTAATGTCTGATTTATGCATTGTTGTGTTAAAATTCATTTTTTGGCAGACTCCTTTTTGGGGGTCCAACTCCAGGCTGCATATAGGTTAAGGTAATGCATCATTAAAAAAGGATTATGCAAGCAGTATCTTAACAAAACCCCAGTGAATTAAAATAAACCCCGCTGTACATTTAGTTACTTAAGGTAATTTGCCTTATCTTGATTATTGATTCATCCAGTTGGATGTGATTATGTTGGAGTCCTTTGAACAACCTTTTCCAAAACACTGCAAAGAAATTTTGCAAAAAGATTTTGGGACGCTGTCTGTTAGCAGGATAACACTCTGAAAAAGGAACAGAATCGGATCGAATTTGATGGAGAGAGAGAGGGAGGGAGGGAAAGAAAGAGAGACCTGCTGGTCGTTGAGTTTTTTTTTTTTCCTCAAGCCATTTGCTTATGATTGTGTAATGACACAAATTACAGGTAGTCCTTGATTTACAACCATTCATTTAAGTGACCGTTCAAAGTTACAATGGCCCTGAAAAAAGTGTCTAATGATCAGTGGTGGGATTCAAAAAATTTTACTACTGGTTCTGTAGGCGTGGCTAGGTGGGCATGGCAGGGGAAGGATACTGCAAAATCCCCATTCCCTCCCCAGCCCACTAACCTGCTGTGATGACCCGGGGCATGGTACAGAAGCAACAAAGTCACAAAAGTAGGTAAAGTCCCTTTAATGCCTCCAACTTGGTCCCCAATATCCAGTTATCATCGGCTGGAGAAAAAACTCTCCCAAGAACAGTTTTTAAAGGGAAGAAATTCAGTCCGAGCCCAAAGTACATCTAAATTATAAATAAAAACCAACACAAACCACAAAGCTGCAGCAATTAACGAGACAGGGCAGGATAAGGAATTGCAGACTTCAAAAGATAACGAAACACACACAGTTGGGAGGATGCCACAACCCAGATAAGACATGACAAACAAAGATAAGGCACGCTTTGCTTCCAGCAAGGTGCTGTGTGCAAACACCTTTTTTATCCTGTTTTCCCAGCTGCAGCTAATGAAGGGAATCAAGGCCCTTTTCTCCCCTGTAACCCACATTGCTCCCTTATCCGTTCCTCCTTGCATGCCCTAGGATGAAGAGGAGGTGGGCCCAGTCGGACTGTGCCCTTCCCCAGTTTTCTCCACAGCCACACTCCCTGTCAGCTGTTCAACCTCCCCCTCGGAATCAGATTCCAATGGGCATGACACCTGCTTTCCAGCTCCGTTCTCCTGTGCAAGGCAACAAAAGAAGACCCAGCCAATCAGCTGGAACTTGGGAGGTAAAGAAGAGATGGGGGCGGGGCCAGTCAGAGGTGGTATTTGCCGGTTCTCCGAACTACTCAAAATTTCCGCTACCAGTTCTCCAGAACTGGTCAGAACCTGCTGAATACCACCTCTGCTTATGACCATTTTTCACACTTGCGACCATTGCAGCATTCCCATGATCATAATTCAGACACTGGGCAACTGACTCATATTTATGATAGTTGGAGTGTCCCAAGATCATGTGATCATCTTTTACAACCTTCTGACAAGCCAAGTCAACGGGGAAGCCAGATTCACTAAACAACTGTAGGGAGCCACTTAACAACTTTGGCAAGAGAGGTTGTAAAATGGGGCAAGACTCACTTCATAAACATACCAACTCTTGTGGTTACCATTTTCTACCTTCCCAGCCTCTTTTTATTTTTTCCTTTTGTGATCTCGCCTTAAAATACCAC